AGTGTCCTGGATTTGTCTCTGGAGCGTCAACCAGTATTGAGGAATGCCCAAGGAACACACGAAGAAGTCCGTCATCCAACTAAAAAAGATTGTTTTTTGGATGCTTACTGTTCCTCTACTTCTACAAGCTTACCTCGATTCTGTAAAAAGTGGTTCGCTGCTCGAACTCGACTACAATGATTTGGGTGTCACTTCGTGAGGTACGGAATTCGAAGGTAAATGTGAATGGTACAGAGATTTCAGGAGGACGATAGATAACGAAGGACTCGTCGTCAGTGAGGGTGAGAGGTCGGCTATGAGGGGAAATCACTTCTGGAAATACATACAATTACGGTCTCTTCGCCCACTCCTATAATTTTCCAAAATCTTTGGCGTTTCCGTTGAAGGTTGCATCAAGAACAAACTTATCAGTGATGCAATTTGCGAAATCAAATCTAGACCTTTGAGATGGTCACAACTGCATATTGTCCTAATCCAAAAAAGCTTTTTTGAAAGTTTCTCAGAAATTTATCAATTCTTCATGCTTTGGACAAACCTCCATCGCATGGGCCCTTGTGATGGCTAGAGTGGGGGCACCGACAGTTGGCACCATTCCAACGATTGACGCACTTTGCATTCGTTGCACAAATGCCTTCTCCACAAAAATCTTTTCGTTGTTTGCAGCCTTCATGCACAGTTCCTCTTACATCCATGTCGCTCAGAGAAGAAAACTCAATCAGCTCTTTGTTGAGCGTAAGGTTGGAGATGCAGCCTAAATGATTCAACTCCGAGTTACGGAAAAAAAATCATTTACTAATTGATTGCGATAAAAAACCAAATAAATGAGTTACATAGCCGTAAATCGAGCCGTAAATCTTAACAAAAAGCTAGAGGGCATTTCTCCCATTATTTTTCAATATCTTATCAATGAATTGGAGGCTCCTTATCCTAAATAATATAATGCCAATTTCAATACATCTAGTCGTCAATCTCAACTCAATTCATCTAGAAACCATTAAACTTCGATAATTAATATATTATTCTGAACATTTTCATTTCTCCATCTAATAGCTTTTCATTATATATTGAGATTGTCATGAGACAATGACTGATTCAGTGACCACACGTACTATGTCTAAAAACACACCTGAGTAGCCGTTTTCCACCTTTCCAGAGAGTTTGGGACGACCTCCCAAAAAGATACCATTATAGACATCCAGAAAACGATAGCAGGGGACAGAAGGGTCAACGCATCTACAAAATATACATATATGTCATCACAAAGCGGTAAATACCTGACTTTACATTGCAATGATAGTAAGAAAAA